GAAGCTGCGCCTGTACCAGTTCCTGCTCGGGCTGCTGACCCGCGGCGACATGCGCGAGTGCGTGTGGTGGGTGGAGCCGGGCGCCGGCGTCTTCCAGTTCTCGTCCAAGCACAAGGAGCTGCTGGCGCGCCGCTGGGGCCAGCAGAAGGGCAACCGCAAGCGCATGACCTACCAGAAGCTGGCCCGCGCCCTGCGCAACTACGCCAAGACCGGCGAGATCCGCAAGGTCAAGCGCAAGCTCACCTACCAGTTTGACATTGCGCTGCTGCCGGCCGCCCGCCGGGCCTGAGCCCGGGGCGCTCTCGGGGGGGCTCTCAGGGGCTCCAGGTCGGTGTCACGTTGCTGTCCCCTCACCCTAGGTCATAGGACCCGTGGATCCCCCACACTGTGAGGGTGGGGGGGCTGCCGTAATCCCTAAGCCCTGCTCAGGGCCCCTCTGGGATTCCCGCGTCACGTCCAGGGTCGCAGGACTATGTGTCTGTGTGGAGTGGGGCGGGCCGGTGCTTCCAGAACCCCAGCCAGGCTGGGGGGCCGCTGTGTGTCTGTGATCCCACAATCCCATGGGGGGGCAGGTGAGCCCACAGATGTTCACACCAGGATGGGGCGCTGCCAGCAGCCCTAGGCCCCGTTCAAGGTCTGGGGGACCTCTGCTCCTATGAGTCCCTCCCGTCAGATCTGACATCTCCTAGTTATGCCTGAGACCCCCCGGGATCCCTTAACCATAGCTCATATCTCTGTGCCCAGCTGTGACTCTCTTCCTATCTGTCCCCCCAAATCCCTCCATCATCTTTGGGGTCCCCTAGTTCTCTGGAACCGCCCTGCTACCACTTCTTTGTGTGTCTGGAATTCTCCAGTCACAGCTAGGGAGGCTCAGGGATCCTTCCGTCATGTCTGAAAATACTTGTCAGGTTTGGGGGGGGGCACCTCATTGAACCTTGTCATGTCTGGGCCACCTCTGCCTGGGATTCTCCAACCACATCCGTGCCCCTCTCTGGGATTTCCACCTGACATCCCCCTATGGGGACCCCACTAGCAGCTGAGTCGTCATGGGAACCCTCCCTCTCTTGGGGTGTCCCCTGTAGTCCCATTCTGCGGATCATTCTGGCCACTGAGCTGATTTCTGGGTGATCTTGGCAGCCCCCCACATCGTTTCTAACTGATGACCCACTCCTTACCCCTCACCCAGGGGGCAAGTCAGGCCCCCCGCCCCCGCCCCCTCCCCCAGCGGGGTTTTCTTTCATTCAAGGTCACAGTTTTGTTTGTTTTTGGAGGGGCATCCAATTTAACTGACATTTCAATGGAGGGAGATTTTGCAAAATCCTTCTGTTAAAACGTTGCACAATCCAGCGACCGGCTTTGGGGTGTGCAGGCTGGAGCAAGGCGGTGCTCCCTCCTCCTCCCCCCCCCCATGGGCCCCTGTTCGCCACCAACCCCCTTGGCTGTCATACCCTGGTGGCTTCTCTCAGTTGCCTTGACCCTCAGCCACCTGCACTTTGACCCCTGGGTGAACCCAGCTGGGTGAAGCCTGGATGGGCCGTGGGTGCTCTGCTTGGAAGCCCGAGGCCAGGGGCTGTGGCTGAACCGGAGTCCAGTCCTTGAGCCTCAGTGGCTGGGGGCCCTCGAGTCAAAGACGTGCTGCTTCTGGGCCTCAGTTGTCCCTTCTGTGAAAGGGGAGAGGAAGAGGAGGAAGATGGTGACAGTCCCTCGCAGCCCGTGGACAGGCCTTTGATGCAGCTCCTGCGATCACCACACCCCCACTGATGGCTGGAGGAGGCTGAGGGGGCGCATCAAGGACCCAGAGACAAGAGGTCCTTGCAGGGGTGCCGGGTGCTGGCAGCAGCAAGAGCAGAACAACCCCCCTGCCTTGGGGAGGGGCCAGCGTGGGAGGGGGGGGGGTGGCAAGATGTCCTCCCTGGGGCCTCCATTGCAAACGAGGTACCTTCTGCAGAAACCATCATCACCCCAAGTGTGGAATGAAATAAAATAAACAAAACAAATCAAGGTAGACGGGCCTCCTGGGACCCTTTGTCAGGGCCGGCAATGCTGGCACACGGCCTGCCGGCTCCAGGGACACCGGGACAGGGAGGGGGGTAAGAGAGGAGAGGAGATGGAAGAGGCGCTGAGAGCCAGACCAGGCTGAGCCTTGAAAACCATGATAAGGGGCTTGAGCTACAGGCACTGGTGGTTCCGTCCAATTTTGTCCCTCTCTTCCTGACCAAGGGGATCCTTCCCCTCCCTCTCCCTGCTGCCCTTTCCGTCCTCTCCCTTCCCTTCCTTTCCCCGCGCTCTCTCTGGGTCTCTGGCTCCACTCCTCCGCCCTTTCTGGTCACTGTCCTTCCTGGGACTCCTGTCCTCCCTCGGGCTGTGTGGTTGTCTGCCTGGTAACCCGTGACGCCACACGAAGGCAGCCTCCGGATTGGCTAGGCGCTCCTTGGGGGCGGGAAGTTTCCGGCTCATAGGGGGTTTTGGAGACGGGAAGGGGGAGGGACTCGTCTTCCT